ACAATCTCTCCCTTCTCCATTTCCCCTGGGAGCTCACAATGACTTGTTCCTTTACTATAGCCAAGCAATGTTCCCATTCCCCTCATCCACGCTTTCCTCTTTCCTTGGCATCTAATGAAAAATGAGGGCAGCTAGGTGGCACGGTGGGTACAGCACCAGGCCTGGAGTCAGGAAGACTCATCTTCCTGAGTTCCAATCCATCCCCAGACACTTATTAGCTGTATGATCCTGGGCAAGTCACTTAACCCCGTTTGCCCGTTTCTTCCTCCGTAAAGGAGCTGGAGAAGGAAATGGCAAACCACTCTGGTATCTTTGCCAGGAAGACCCCAAATGGGGTCATGAAGAGTTGGATAATTGAACTGGAAAAAAAAAAGACTGAGTAACAACAATGGAAAATGAAGGCAGGAAACAGTAAGTATCCATGGCTTTCTCTAAAGGGGCTGTTACATATGTTGTCAAAGAACAAATCATAGAAACAATTTAATTAAAGAGAATGACAACAATAAGACAATGTAGCAACAGTAGTGAGGCATAACAGCAACAGTGAGGCAAGGCTGTCTAGTGACAAAAAGTCTGTTCCTAGCAGGGCTTCATGTCTGGACCTGTTGGTGTCTGCCCAAGCTCAGGGACCATCAGTTCCAGAAGGTGAGCACAAAGAATTGTTGTTATGCCAAGCTCAGGGCACAGCTTGCTTGCAGAGCCATAGTGCTAAAAAACAGGGAGTTTCCTAATGTCTTGACATTGCTCACATAGTCAGTATGTGTCAGAGACAGGAATACAGGTCTTCCTGGCCAGCTCTCTAGTCACTATCCCAAAGTCATCAAGCCTAGGAAATTATCAGAGATTAAATGGAGAGAAAAGAAAAGCTAGCAGTAGTCCAAAGAGAAGGTTTTATACTAGTAAAGAAAGGAGGAAAGTCATTTTTTGTTGCCCTCTGAATAAAATGGTAGTTTGAAATCTCACGAGGAGGTTCTATACCCCACTTCTCTATTCCTTCTTCTGTCGACATGAAGGGGCAAAGAAAAGAGGAGAGTTCTATTCCTTGTTACTATTGGTTTCCAAGCTGCCTAGCTTGGAAAGCTTCTGCCAGAGCTGGGGCTGTAGTTATAGCTAGGCTTTGCTGCTGTCCATTTGAGATAGAGACCACATCCTAGACCAGCATGATACTTAAACCCTAATCTGTACTTCCTCTCCTAATAGCTACATGCCCATAGTCCCATAAATCTAGTGATATGCAAATGCAAGAAGGCTTAATCGTCTGTGGATCTTTCCCTTCCTCCCTCCACAGCTGGTTCTGTAGTACAATAGGCCAGCTTTGTTTTGGGGGAGAAAGGATTATTACAACAGGATGATAACCCTCCTGTAAAGATATATATATATGTATGTGTGTGTGTATACATATGTGTGTGTATATATATATATATATACATATATATGGTTACCCTGTCTCCCCAAACAAGGGATGAGGCTACCCCCAAATGCTTCATTTTAACTTTAACGGGGGGTCTAGCATGTGTGGAAATATCGGCTTGTCAGGTGACATATCCATGTGAAAGACTCTAGAGCACTGCTTGCAGGAAAATTGATGATGTAGGAGGGAAGTCCCTAGAAGAGACTGGAGCATCTATGGATAATCTGGACCCAGTTCTCATTGTTCTACCCTATATGTGGTTGGGAAGGACCTTTATCCATTGGCTGTGTAGCGGGCACTGCCAACATCTTCCAAAGAGCCTGAGCCAACATTTGTCATCTCTTTGCTATATTTGAGTCTGGGGAAGCAAAGTAACTCCTTCATTACAGTTTCTCTACGGAGACCATGAAGTAAGGAGGAAGGCCTTAGGGACTTCTTTTTCCCTCTCTGAGGCTGGATGACCCCCTGAGAAACAGGCCTGGGTCTTTGGTCTTTTTTTTTCATTCTTTTCTGTTCAAGGTGCAAGGAGTAGAGTCTCTGACCTCAAGGGTTAAAGGACAGCAGCATAAGCCACAGGAATCTGGAAGTCCAAGAATCCGTTGATGGCTGCAGCTAGCCCAGCTTCAATGTCCTAAGCACAGAACATCTGGAGTAACCTTTGGAACTCTGGGACAGCAGAAGCCATATCTCTGAATGGGGATTTGGTGGGACCAATGCTAAATAGGAAACGAGCTAGGTTTCAAGCCCATAATCTCTCCCACCCCTCCCTAGAGCCTGAGGTGCTATAGGGAGAATTATGCCCCTCAAGGTGTTGGGGAAAATGTTGGAACATTTGTTATTGCTATATTTTTGGAGAAAATAGCCATTTGCAAAAGATACCTGATGTTAAGCAATTAAATGGAACTGAGATGCTAGTTAGTAAGCACCTAAAATTAAGGAGAACACAGCCAAGGGAAGAATCAAGTCAATATCAGAGAAACCCCAACCCCCTTCAGGGTTATCTGAGAACCTTGGGTAGGGTGAAGGGGAGAAAAGGGGAGGTATGTATCATGCCTGAGGCCAGAGAGTAGGACCAGAGCACACCTTGTTACATAACCAAGAACATTCTTCTAAGCCCATGTATTCCAGGAAACAGAAGAAGAAAAGTGTCTACCACAATGGCAAACAACACAAATGCTTGATAAACATTTAATGTTGACCTTTTCTACCTCCTTCCTCCTCACACGGTTGGGTCAACAGCATGGTTATACTCAATCAATAAACATTTATGTGCCAGGCTCTGTACCAAGTCCTGGGGATACAAATACAAAAAAGAGAGTCCCTGCCGTCAAGGAGCTTACAATCTAATGGCAGAAGACCACATACAAAAAGAAGCTGATGAGGCTGATGGGATCTTGCAGGATGATGAAATTTCCCCAATAGTAGGTTTCCTGAGGCATGGTGGAAAAGTCAACAAACAGTTGTGTGCAGGTATAAACTTTAAGTCGGACAGCTTCCCTGCCTTCAAGGATCTTACAGTCTAGTAGGGATATTTAACAGTCATAAATAGCTATACTGCACAATACTACACGGTAAATGCAGTAAAGGGTTACATCACAAAACACAATGTGAGTATGAGAGAGAAGGCTGTTGCCAGCCTGAGTGGGAAAGGGAAGCCCTTCCTGGAGGTGACATTTAAAAGTATGGTTAGGAATTCAGCAACCAAAAGTGAGACAGGGGGGCCAAGCATAGGGAAAATTTTGAGCAGAGGCTCAGTGTTGGGAGGAGAGAGGGCTTGGGGTTAGGGTAGGGGGAGATGGGCAGGAATAGTCAAAACTGTGCACTATGGTTGGAAGCTATGGTTTGTAGGAACTATATGAGATAAAACCAGAAAGGTCAAATGTCTCTAAATTATGGGAAATCTTGGCAGCCAGAGGAAACAAAAGGGAACTTCTGAAAGTTTTTGGATATTAACTCCTTTGTTCAGTTTAAGTCAAGAGAGCAAGCATTTATTAAGTATGTGAGTCAGAAAAGAAATACATTCTCTGTGCTCAAGGAGCTTACAATCTAATGAGGGAAAGATAACCATATAAAAGGAAACTGAAGGGGGGTGGGGAAGATGTAGAGAGCAGTACCCACTCATGGGTTGAAGGAGCAAATGTGACTGGCCTGGGCACTTTCCTTAAAATGGAGAGCTGGAAAAAGTGATAAGGGGGCTAAAGGTGAGAAGGTCTATTGGGTGAGAAGGCTGCTGAATCAACATGGAGCACCATCCGACCTTGTCCCAACCTATTTCTCCAGCCTCATTAGACATTTCTCCCCTTCTGGCATGCTATGATGATTCAACCAAAGTTAGATTCGCCACCTTGAGAACTCAGTCACCTGTTACACAGGACACTCAATCTCCCTTCACTCCACCACCCTTCTGATCTTACCACTGCTTATACCTATCTTAGATATAAGAAGCTAAAAAGAAAATCACCGATCATTTATTGCACTGTGATTTTGTTATTTTTATGTCACATGTCGCCCCCCCATGTGGTGTAGTAGGGAGCAAATATGACATAAAAATAATAATTCAAGACAATATGTTAAATAGACAACGAATAACTTTTCTTTTGGGGCTGCTAGATCGCTCAGTGAATATTTTTGTACCTTTGTATTGGCAGTCCACCATGCCTGGTGTGCATCTTCCTTCCCCCCAACTCACAGGCACACAGGCCCCTTCCTTCTGGCTGAAGACTTTTCACACTCCTCACTGCTAGTTCTCTCCCTCCCAAACGATTTTGTGCTACTTGTATTGTTTAGTTGTTTTTCAGTTGTGTCTGACTCTTCGAAGTGATCCCATTTGGGATTTTCTTGGCAAAGAGACAGGAGTGGTTTACCATTTCCTTCTGTAGTTCATTTTACAGATGAGGAAACTGAGGCAAACAGGGTGAAGTGATTTACTCTAGGTCACACAGCTACTAAGTGTCTGAGGCTAGATTTGAACTCATCTGATTACTGGCCCTTCACTCTATCCACTACCTAGCTGCCCCTACTTTGTACTTTAGTGTCCCAAAAGTCTTAGCGCAGTTTTAAGCTATTAAAGCATAAAAATGTATGTGTTTACTTTGCATATATTTGTATTTATTCACTTTATATATGTTATTTACATATATTTATATTTATACCGTTGTATAGGTACATGCCTTCCCCCATTACTCATTTCGGGTAGGAATTGTTTCATTCCTTCTATTCGTATTCTCAATGCATGGCACACAGTAGGGCTCTTACTAAATGTTTATTGATTAGATCCCCAGCGCCTGGCAAGGTGCCTGGAACACAGTAGGTTCTTAATAATTACTAGTTAATTGACTGATTATTCTAACAGCCCGGTGCAGAGGGGATATAGTTTCACTTCCCCCGTATATAAATAGGCCACCGCGTTGATGACCCTTAGCCTACCACCACGACTCCAGTAGACCCTGCCTAAATATGCTCCTGAGTGAGTGCAACCCTAACTGGGAACTTAGAACCCCTCCAGCTCCTCCCTAGCAACCGTTGCTAAGGGAAGGCGTGGCCCTCGGAGGAAGTCAACTCTACGCCTGCGCAATACTGTCTTCGATCCCAGCTTGCGCATGCTTGGAGGGCGGAAGACGAGGATTGCAACATGGGGGATCCCGAGCCAGAATCGGAGCAGATTCGCCTGAAGTGCATACGGCGGGACGGTTTCTTCACGGTGCCTCCGGAGGACAGGGTGCGTGTGTGCGGGATATCACGCGGGCCGGCGCTGCTTTCCCTCAGCCTGCCGCCCTGTTGGGTGTTGGCTTGTGTTTCCTTGGCAGAACTACAACTCCCAGAGTTCCTTTCGGCAGGCGCGGGGAGTTGTGGGGGAATCGCGTCAATTTCCCGCGGAAGCTGTCCACAGCTGGGGGGTGGAGTCAAGACTGGATCCTCCTCCCTCTCCCTGAAAACAACCTCTTTGTTTACTCCTAGAAATAAATTATAGATTAAAAAAAAAAACAAAAAACATCTCTGGCCTTTATTGATCATCAAGGCCAATTCTCCACATTTTGCAGAAGGGGAAATTGAGGCCCAGAGGGGGAAGGGCATACGGGAGGAGGCAGGACTAGAACTCTGCTTCTGGTCCTCTAATCCATATCCTTTTCCACTATGCCAAGTTACAGTTTTAAAAAATATAGATATTGTTTCGCATAACTTTACATGTATAATTGATATATTGTTTTTCTTCTCAATCGGTGAAGGGGGGGACCAGAGGGAGAGAATTGAGAACTCTAAAATTTTTAAATAAAGTATAGTTATATATTTATCTTATATATATAATATATTATATGTTATATATAATTTAATACAGTAAATATTACATATATAAATAGATTTATGGAGCACATTGTTTTCAGGCCTCTCAACAGAAAGCTACATTCAGGCCAGTGTGGGAATGAGACCATGTGGGCACATGTGTCCCACTTACTTCCCCAAACGGTTTTTTTTGACAGGACTAGAGAAGTTCCGACTGGAACTGGGAATGTGAATTTGGGTGTGCTTTACTTTATGGACCAAGCAGCAGGGAAAAGAAATGAATCCAGTTCTGTTCAAGAGCATTTATTAAACACCTGCAGTGCACAGAGCAGGTTGCTACCAAAAATAAAAAGTTAAACAATGAATTCAGTCCCTACTCTAGTATAGTTTATAATCTTGAGGTATCGGGATTTGGGTGGATGGGATCTGTGACTCCTCTTACAAAAGAGATCTGCTACTCTTTTTCAACTCAGAATTTCCAGGACCACAAAGAGGCAGAGGAAAGCTGTCTCTCAGGCCAAAAGAGAGGTTTTAGAGCTAAATGAAAAGTTTTGTTCAGTCATTTCAGTTGTGACCGACTCTCTATGACCCTGTTTGGGGTTTTCTTCGAAAAGATACTCGAGTGGTTTGCCATTTCCTTCTCCAGCTCGTTTTACAGATGAAGAGACTGAGGCAAACAGGGTGACGTGATCTGCCCAGGATTACACAGCTAGTGAGTGTCTGAGGTCCGGTTTGAACTCAGGTCTTCGTGATTCCAGGACCAATGCTGTGTTCACTGAGCGATCTAGCAGCCCAAAAAGAAAAGTTATTCGTTGTCTATTTAACATATTATCTTGAATTATTATTTTTATGTCATATTTGCTCCCTACTACACCACATGGGGGGAGACGACATGTGACATAAAAATAACAAAATCACACGTTCAATAAATGATCAGTGATTTTCTTTTTAGTTTTCTTATATCTAAGATAGGTATAAGCAGTGGTAATTACGATCAGAGTGAGGAAGGTAAAAAGCCAGTACAGCCTGAAGTGGTCAGAGGAAATTGTTTTTGGATTTAACTTTTCTTTAAAGGTAGGAATTCGACAGGGAAAATGGCATCCCAGGCATAGAGAACATGGTAAACAAAGATACAGTGATTGGACAGTGTGATGGATGTCCTGGGCATATTTGACTGGCGTGTATATGGAAAAGAACATGATAAGAACATGAGGTGAATATGAAAGTAAGTTATGGTAACACTGGATTGTGGAGGGCATTGAATGTCAGGCTTAATAAATCCCCTCATCTGTAGCTGTCAGTCCCCAAGGAGAATAGGCAGCTAGGTTCAGGGCTATATAGGTCTTAAGAGAATCTATTTCCCCAGGCTCAGATGGGCTGATTTTTGGCAGGATTTGCCAAGGGAAAGAGCTCGAAATGTTTTTTGTTTGTTTGTTTGTTTGTTTGTTTGCTTTTGGAGGCAGTCAGGGTTAAGTGACTTGCCCGGGATCACACAGCTAGTGTCTGAGGCTGGATTTGAACTGAGGTCCTCCTGACACCAGGGCCAGTGCTCTATCCACTGTGCCATCTCGCTGCCCTGAGATGTTTTGACTCTTACCTCTAAAGGGAAATCCCAGCCTGTGTTTTCATGTTCCAGACAGGATAACTATGTTGTCAGATTCTTAATATGTGCAATCATTTTTAAGGGAGATGCTGTGTTTATTTCTGATTTGTTGTAGATTCAGGTGTGACTTGGGCTAGGTGATTTCCAAATTTGAGATTCTATATTCAAATTCATGTTGGAAGGAGAATCTATCATATCTGGCAGCAGGATAGCCTTCCAAGATCTCACCACCATTATTCTATCTAATAGCATACCCTGGATTCCTTTACTTGTAATGAGGGCCCCTTGGCCAACTTTTTCTGGCATTTTGTTTTTGGTTTCTTAGTCCTTCTGGTTCATCCCATAGGTCTCTTTACCCTCTAGCCCCAGTACTGACCTGCTGCTGTGCCCTGCTTGGTTGAAAGGTAGCCTTACTTTTAACAAGCTCACCATAGGAGGAGGCAAATGAGACTTGCACTCTGAGTGAGCTGCTCTGGGTATTTCCGTTGTCTATTGAATATTACTAGCTGTTTCGATGAGCTGCCACGTCTTCTCCTCTACTCGCAGCTGGGACAGTGCCGGAGCGTGAAGGAGTTCGAAAAGCTGAATCGGATTGGGGAAGGCACCTATGGCATCGTGTGTAAGTGTGGGCTTGCTGTTGGCCAGGAGCCCGGCATGGGGACCTGTGGACTTTGTCACCTCAGCAGTGCTCTGTCTAGATGAGAGAGCTAAGCAGGGCTGGGATGGAAAAGGCAGCTCTCACGGGTGACGGCTGGGCGGGCAAAGAAGACAGCCAGGAGGCCAGCGTTACCGGAGCAAAGAAGAGCGCCGGGGGGAGGTCGCCCCAGATTCTTCAGTCTCACTTGTCCTCCCTCCTGACATCTGACCAGTCGTCCAATCTTCGTCCAGTCTTCCTCCGTGTCTGTCCACTCCCACCACCACTGCCCTAATTCAGACCCTTAGCACCTCTCGTCTGGACTGTTACAACATCTTCATTCAGCCTGCCTCTCCCCTCTCTACTCCAGCCGCAGTTCAGCTGCCAATCCCTAAAGCAAGGGTCTGACCATGCCAGTCTTTGCCTCAGAAGCTTTAGTGGTTCCATGTTACCTCCAGGTCCAGACTCCTCTGTTGCCATTTAGGGGCCTTCACCCTCTCTCCAGCCCATCTTTCCGGGCTGGTTCCCCTTGATTTCCCTCCTTGCATTCAGCATCTCAGCCAAACTTCCAGGACACTTTGTCTCCTGTTTCCATGATTTTGCACAGGCTGCTGTCTCTCTCCACTTCTCCTTGGAAGTCCTAGTTCCCATTAATGTCAGCTTAGGTGCCATTGTGTATGAGAGGCCTAGCTGTTGGTGCCTTCTCTCCTCCATTCCTTTCTATTTCTATGTATTTATCTGAGTGCATGTCATCTCCCCAGTAGAACATAAGGTCACTGAGGACAGGACTGTTTCATTCATGTCTTTGAATCCCCTGCTCCTAACAAATAGTAGGCACTTGCTGGCTTGGCATGAGTCCTGATGAGAAAAGCAACATTCCAGTGTCCCTGGTGGGATCTGTGTTAGAACTGGGCAGGAGAGTACTCAGGGCTCTGGCTTTGTGTTTCCCATGGGTCTGTTCCTGTTTCAGATCGGGCCCGAGACACCCAGACAGATGAAATCGTGGCCCTGAAGAAGGTTCGGATGGACAAGGAGAAGGATGGTGAGGTGGGGTGAATGGTTGCCAAAGACCTCCTCAGTGACCTCAAGGGAAACATAGGAATGAGGCTGTTTTAGAAATACAAAGCATCTGTGCTTCTCATTGGAAGCCAACATTGAGTAGTCCTGAAAAATCCTTGGTAAGAGGGAGGCGGTGTAAAGAGCCCTGGGCTGAGAGGCCAGACACCTGGGTTCGAATCTCAGCACTGCTGCTAATTAGCTTGTTGAGCCAGGATCAGTCACTTAATGGCTTGGATGGTAGTAGGGCCTGCCTACTAACCACCCACAGTTGTGAAATTCAAATTCAGCGCTCTGCACACCGTGAAATGCTGTGCTCAGCTGAGGGCCAGTCATACATCGAGCATTGGTGTTTGGCTTAGCTGCCAGGTGTTCTTTGCCAATTAATTTATTTTTAATTTTTGACTAGGTAAAGAGACCATTCACTGCCTCAATTCTTACTAAGCCTTAATTACTGAATAGCGATGCCTCAGTCAAACTGAGACCTGGGAAAGACCTTAGCTTAAAAAGGCTAAGGTCTCCTACTGCGTCCTGGGCCATCTCCAGTCGTCCTGATCCGTATCTGGCCACTGGACCCAGATGGCTCCGGAGGAGAAAGTGAGGCTGGTGACTCTGCACAGCCCTGCCTCACTTACATCCGGTTCACTTGCACATCATGGCATCACCTCCCTGATGTCTTGGTCCTCTTCAAGAACAAAGGACAAATAATAACAACTTGAGACAGGCAGGATTCAACAAAACACAGGTTCCCTCGGTAGAGGGTGAGGAGGGAGGGCCTCCACTCTGGTCTAGGGAGGGGTTGTGTGAAGCTTGTGTCATTGCCCAGCCGGGAGCTAGGAGAGATGCAGGGCTCAGGAAGGGGAGGTTGTTGCCCGTGGCCAGTGGCCCGAGTGTATCATTTTCTTGGGGCAGGGATCCCCATTAGCAGCCTCCGGGAAATCACGCTGCTCCTTCGGCTTCGTCACCCCAACATCGTGGAGCTGAAGGAGGTGGTTGTGGGAAACCACCTGGAGAGGTAAACACCCCTGGTTGTCCTTACCCCGCTGGGGTAGAACGCCCCCACCCCTCCCCCCATTCCCTGCTCAGTCCTGCTTTCTGCTTTCTACTCCCAAGTTGTGATTTTCCCTTCCTTCTTCTCTCTTTGCTTTCTCCTACCAAAGACACGTCCCCCCCTCAGTCTTCTCTCTCAATGGTTGGCCCTTTAGAAGGACAGGGTGGCATCAGGTCACTGTGTCCCCTTTTGTCTCTCTTCCAGCATCTTCCTGGTGATGGGTTACTGTGAGCAGGACCTCGCCAGCCTCCTGGAGAACATGCAGACACCCTTTTCAGAGGCTCAGGTATGTGTGGGCTGTGGTCATCTTTATTCTTGGTGTTAAACCTTCTTCTACCCACTCTGCTAGTGACTGGTGTAGAACCATACACCTTGGGGAAGCCTATGCCTCCCTGGAGAGTTCATTCACTTTGGATAGTCAACAAGCATTAAGTGCCTACTATGTGCTAGGCACCAGAGAAACAAAGAAAAAAAAACCATCCCAGTCCCTGAGCTTAAGGAGCTTAAATTTGTATTGAGAGAAAGCAGATATGAACGCAGATAAGCCAATGTAAGGTATATACAACGTAATTTCCAGGGGAGAAGAAAGTAATAACTGGGGAAATCAAGGTAGGCTTCTTGTAGTAGGTAGCCTTTGGCCTAAGCCTTGAAGGAGAAGGATTCTAACGGCAGCTGACTGGTGGGACTTGTTCCTTTAGGATGCAGTAAGAATTAATCCAATCATTGGACAAGCATTTATTAAGTAATTTGCATGGGACCTTATAGGAAGTTGGGAGGGTTCAGAGACAAAGGGGAAACAGTCCCACCTTAAAAGAGCTCACCTTCCAAGGGCTTTAGAGAGCGTTCACTGAATTGACTGCACTGCCATATTTTTCTTTGATGGTTCTTGTTCCTTTCCCCATTACGGCCCCTTATTCTCCTGCCTTTCCTCTGGTCCCTGGCCACTGTCCCTTTAGATATCATCTGTGGTTCTCTAGCTGGGCAGCATGTGAGTTATCAAGGGACCCAGAGCCCAGTGTTAGGGCAGAGCATGATGGTCTTCCCTCTTCCTGTGACAGGGAGCCCTTCCTCAAGCCCCCATAACAACTGACCTGCAGCTCTCTGAGCTGCAGATAAATGACTTATCTATCATTCATTGGCTCTTTCCCCATTCTCACCCTTACAGGTAAAGTGTATCATTTTGCAAGTCCTCAAGGGCCTTCAATACCTTCACAAAAACTTCATCATTCACAGGTGAGGGGCAGGGGAAGGCTGAGAGGTCTGTAGGAGGCAGGTTCTGGAAGGAAAGGGTGTGGCAGACCTAGACTTAGGAAGAGCACTGAGGACAAACTCAGGAAGACAGTGCTAGTTAGAGATGGGTGTTGGGGACGAGGCTAGGTGGGCAGCAACTCCACGTCCAGTCCCGTGCCTTCTTGTGCCCACCTCCAAATCACATCATCTTCCCAGTTGGAAGAGTAATGGAATCCTGGGTGGATTCCTTCCCTCCTCCACCACGGTGGTGGTCCAGATATAGGCAGGGCTTCTTAATCTTGCTTATGTCGCAAACCCTTTGGGTAGTCTGGTGAACCCTGTGGAACCCCTGTCGGAATAATGTTTTTAAAGGCATCACATACATAAGATTACAAAGGAAACCAAATATATTGAAATACAGCTATCAGAGCAGGTAGGTGGCCCAATGGATAGAGCACCAGCCCTGGAGTCAAGAGGACATGAGTTCAAATGTGGCCTCAGACTAGCTGTGTGACCCTGCGCAAGTCACTTAACCGCAATTGCTACCCCACCCCCCAAAAAAAGAAAGTTATCAAAATATTTTGAAAAACAAGTTCACAGATTCCAGGTTGAGAACCTTTGACCCGAGGAATAGACCAATAGAGAGCAACTCCAAGCCAAGAGCAAGATGTGAAGATGCCTTCACATCTTCAGCCCAGAGATCTCATGGCTTGAAAGGGACATCCTTCTCATCTTGGAGCAGTCACTGAAATCGGCTTCCCTGGGGTGACTGGTGTCTTTTCTTGCCATGACAGGGATTTAAAGGTTTCCAATTTGCTTATGACAGATAAGGGCTGTGTTAAGACCGGTGAGTATCTGTATGTTTCCCTGGAACCATGTGTGTGTGTGTGTACACACTTGTATACTCTCTGCGCCCGCATGTAAACACCTAAGCCTCTCACACATTGGCATCCCCCTGGCATTCTATTTCTTTATTTCTTATGCACCAAGCAAGAACTTACTAAACACTTGCTAAGTACTTAACTCCTCCTTCACATTTCTGTCCCCTTTTTTGGCAGCTGATTTTGGCCTGGCTCGGGCTTATGGTGTTCCTGTGAAGCCAATGACCCCCAAAGTGGTCACCCTCTGGTGAGTTAGCCTTGAAGATACTTCACACTCCAGAGTCTAGGAGAGGGGGGGTAAAGGGAGAAAGGGGAAAGGAAGGGAATGAGCATTTCTATGATGCCTACTGTGTGCCTGGCACTGTGTTAAGCACTTTACAAATATTATCTCATTTGATCCTTACAACAACCCTGTGAGATAGGTGCTATTGTGATCCTCATTTTACAGTTGAGGAAACTGAGGCAAACAAAGGTTAAGTGACTTGTCCAAGGTCACATAGATAGTGTTTGAGGGGGAAAGGTTGCTTTTGGGCTTCTCTGCAGGCCTGTATCCAATTGGGCTGGTCAGGTTCCCTAAGAGGACATAAACTGGAGCTGGAGACGTCAGAGGACTTGGAAAGGCATGCAAATTCAGAGATTGTGGGAGTGCCATTGCATACTAAAGTCACCAGGGCCATTTGCAAAGGCAGAGCAGATCTACAGGACAGAGAAGGCTAGCTGGTCATCAGGGTTATCTTCTGTTAATCCAAATGGAGGTCAGTGAATTGTATGTGCTGTGGGATGAGCCAGCTCAGAACCTGTTGGTATTTACCCTGGAAAGCAGTCTTGGCAAGGAAAAAATCGTGTAAACAGACCAAAGGTTCGGTCTCATTAACAGCCATGGGGAGCTGGTTTTTCCTAGTAATATTGTATTCAAGATTTGTGCCCCATCATCCTCTGAAAGGAGTCGAGATAGGTACTTCTCTGGTCATGCATGAAGTTGGCCAAGATTGGGGGCCTTCTGCGCCATTGCTAAGGTCTGCACCCTTCATGGGCTCTTGGGGGGCAGTGAGGTAAGCATAGCCAGTACACCACCATCTTTGTATGGGAGGGGTACCATTTGGCTCTAAGCTGAGCCCCTAGGGGTGGCTGATGGGCTTGTAAAGAGAATCCTCTGGATAAGAAGATTCTGCAGCAACCATGCTCATTCTTCCTCCTCCTGGTAGTAGCCAGTGTCTTGTTTACAGGGCCAGAGTAGAGACACTATATCAACCCTCTCTAGTAGATGGATAGATTGAAGCAGATCAATCAGTCAACCAATAAACATTTATTAAGTGCCTACTATGTGCCAGGCACTGGGCTGAGCTCTGGGGATACAAAAAAGATACAAAAGACAGTCCCTGCCCTCAAGGAGCTTACAGTCTAATGGGGGAGACAACATGCAAACAAATATGTACAGAACAAGCTTATATACAGGATAAATGGGAAATAATTAAAAGAGGGAAAGCACTAGAATTAAGAGGATCAGAGAAGGCTTCCTGTAGAAGGTGAGATTTTAGTTGGGGCTTAAAGGAAGCCAGGGAGGTCCGAAGGCAGAGCAGAGGAGAGAGAGCATTCCAGGCATAGAGAACAGCCAGAGAAAATGCCCAGAGCTGAAATGGAGGGTCTTGTTCATGGAACAGCCAGGAGGCCAGTGTCGCTGGATAGAAGAGTTCATGATGGGGAGTAAGGTATAAGAAGACAGGAAAGGTGAGAAGGGCTTTGAATGCCAAACAGAGCACTTCGTATTTGATCCTGGAGGCTATAGGAAGTTACTGTAGTTTGTTGAGCAGGAATGACAGGATCAGACCTTTGCTTTAGGAAAATCACTTTGGTGACTGAGTGGAGAATGGCTTGGAGTGGAGAGAGACTCGAGGCAGGCAGAGCCACCAGCAGCTATTATAATAATCAGGGTGGGACATGATGACCTGCACTGGAGTGATGGGGAAGGGGGCAAGAACAGGGCGTATTTGAGAGGTGTTGCAAAGGTGAAATCAACAGGCCTTGGCAACTGCTTGGATGTAGGGTTGGGGGGGTGAGAGAGAGTGAGGAGTCCAGGGTGACTCCTCGGCTGTGAGCCTGAGGGACCGGGACGATGGTGTTGCCCTCTACAGGAACAGGAAAGGCGAGGGTTGGGGGGAGGGTTCCATTTGGACATGTTGAGTTTAAGATGTTTACTGGACACCCAGCTCGAGATATTTGAAAAGCAATTGTATATGAGACTGGACGTCAACAGAGAGATTGAGGCAAGCTAGGTAGATTTGTGAATCAGCAGCACAGAGATGGTAATTAAATCCATGGGAGCTGATGAGAGCACCAAGTGAAGGAGTATAGAGGGAGAAGAAGAGAGAGGTCAGGACAGAACCATGAGGGACACCTGTGGTTAGAGGGCTTGATCTGCAGGAGGATTCAGCAAAGGAGACAGAGAAGGAGTAGTCAGAGAGGTAGGAGGAAAACTAGGAGGGAGGGGTGTCCTGAAGACTTAGGGGGAGAGAGTGATCAGCAGTGTGAAAGACTGCAGAGAAGTCAAGGAGAATGAGGATGGAGAAAAGGCCATTGGATTTGGCAACTAATTGATCATTAATAACTTTGGAGAAAGCAATATCAGCGGAATGATAAGGTCTGGAGCCGAACTGAAGGGAGTGAGAGGGGCAAAAGTGGAGGCACCTACTACAGATGACCTTTTGGAGGAGTTTAGCTGCAAAGGGCAGAAGAGATGTAGGACAATAGTTAGCAGGGATGAAAGGACCGAGGGAAGTTTTCAGAATGGGGGAAACATGGGCATGTTTGTAGACGGTAGGGAAGGAGCCAAGAGAGTGGGTGATATTGAAAGTAAAAGTGGGGATGATGGCGTGTGTTGGAGAAGAGATGGGATAGAATGGGGTCACTTGAACAAGTAGAAGGATTAGCCTTGGTGAGGAGTAACACCACTCCATCATGTCAGACAAGGGTGAAAGAAGAGAGAGTGCCCAAAGGCACCAGAGTGATAGGAGATGAGAAGAGGGAGGTCACAGTGAACATCATCATGTTTTTCTGTAAAATGTGAGGCCAGGTTCTCAGCTGAGAGAGTCATGGGGAAGGGAGCCCTGGGAGCCTTGAGCAGGGATAAGAAGGTTAGGAAGAGCCACTGTGGAGCACGGGAGAGGGAGTTGATGAGGGGGGCATAGTAGGATTGCCCGGTGGCAGTGAGGGCCTGGTTGAGATTGTGTAACATAGATTCATTCTGGGCCCAATCAGAACAGGTGAACAATCTTCTCCACCTTCATTCAGCAGCTCGTGGATAGGAGTGAAGGAGATGAGTGGTGGGAATGGTCCAAGGCTGAGGCTTGGCTGGGTGTAATAGGTGATAAAATAAGAGGGTCAGGGCTTCAAGAGAGGAGACCAGTAAAGATTTGAATTGGGTCACCAAGGAGCCAAGATAGGGAGAAGAGAGAGTGACCAGTGAGAATGGTGAAGGCCACGGGAGGGTAAAGAGTAAGGTTATATAAGGGAAGGCCAAGGGAGAGGTGAAAAACCAATAGATTACGGTCAGATAAGGGGATTTCTAAATACCTGAACATTTGTGGATGATGAGCAGATCAGTGGTATGACCATCTTTATGTGTGGCTGAGGGAGAGCCCATGGGAGGCGAGTAGCTTGAGGGTGTGTGAGGGAGAATCAGTGTGTATGTTGAAGTCCCCTAATGTGAGAGCAGGCGTTGGGGAGATGACCTATGACCGTCCAAGGAAGAAGTGACCTGAGTGTGGGTTATTTTCCTTCATTGTGCAGGTACCGGGCCCCCGAACTCCTCTTGGGAACAGCAACCCAAACTACCAGCATCGACATGTGGTGAGGAGTGTCCTCCTTCTCCTGGAAAGTCTTGGGGTGGGAGAATGTTTGCAAGACCTGGCTGAAGAGTTGGTACTTTTCCCCATCCCATTTCCCAATGATCCAAGAGGTCAGCTGAGCTGTCCTGTCCATGTTGTGTTGGGGCACAGTCCAGGAAGATAAGACTCGAAGATGAAAACATGGGTGGGATGCTATCTGAACACTTGGGAGTGGGGGAGGGAGTACACTGAAGATAAGAAGACTGGCCTTTACCCCGTGAGGGTGTCCCTGCCGGAGAGAGGCCAAAGTCCAGCTCTCCACATCTCCAGCCCCCATGCCTGGAAGGTTCTCCCTCCTGGCCTCGGTCACTTGGACTCTCGCTCCCTTCAGATGGCGCATCCTACAAGAAACCTGTCCTGATTCCTTCACTTAATGTTCCCCACCCCCAGAATTATTCTGTTCAACATACAGGGTGTCCCAAAAGCCTCGGCGCAGTTTAAAGCTTTTCTTGGGGGACACTGCACGTGTATACGCGTGGGCGTATTTGAGGTTATTTCTCTCTGTATATGTTGTCTCCTCTAGTAGAATGTATGCCCCTTGAGGGCAGAGACTGTTTCATTCATTAATATAGCCAGTGAGTAAAAAGCACATTTGACTCTTTGAAGTCAGAAAAAGACCAGAATAATTATTAACCCACTTTGACACTTGGAGTTCTCAAAGCATTAGGAGGGGAAATGGTGCTTCCTTGGCTACTAGAAGGTGACAAAAGAGCTTTTTTTGCACTGAGGAAAACTTGAGCTTGGGTTGTAAGGAAAAATTCCTCACTGCTCAGAGTCGTCCCAGAATGGAGTAGGCTAACCTCTGGAGGTGGTAGCAGGTTTTCCTTCTTTAGAGATCCTCCAGCAGAGTCACTCAGTGAGCAAGCAGGTATTAAGCACCCACTATGTGTCAGGCACTATGCTAAGTACTGGGGATTCCAAGAAAGGCAGAAGATTGTGCCTGCCCTCAGGGCACTTACAGTCTAACAGGGAGACAACATGGGAATGACTGTGGCCCAACAAGAACTAGACAGGCTAACTTGGAGATTCTTCCAGAGGGAAGGCCCTGGAATGAAGGGGAATCAGGAAGGACTTCTTGGAGAAGGGAAGAGTTTAGTTGGGACTTGAAGGAAGCCAGGAGACCAAGGTGATGGAGAGGGTTCTAGGCGTGGGGCATGGCTGGTGGAAACGGCCAGAGTAGGGAGGTGGAGGGGTGTGTGTGAGGAGCCGCACGGGACCGGTGTCACTGACTCACAGTGTCCAGGGAGGGCCGTGGAGGAGGCAGGAAGACTGGAGAGTGGGACGGGGCAGGTTAGGAAGGGCTTGACATGCCAAACAAAGGAATTTCTGTTTGATCCTGGAGGTGATTAGGAGTCACTAGAGTTCATTGAATGGGGTATGACGTGGAAGATCACTCTGACAGATGAGTGGAAGACAGGCATGACCTCCTTCTTGGGGAGGGACGTGGAGGATGGAGACCAACCATAAAGCTATTGCGGTGGTCTAGATCGGAGGTGATGAGGGATAGCACCAGGGGGGCGGCACGTACGAGAGAGGATGTGAAGGTCAAATGGACGGGTCCTGGCCACAGATTGAGAGTGAAAAGTCAAGGAGGATGTTGAGGTTTTGAGCCTGGGTGACTGGCAGGGATGGCAGTGCCCTCAACCATAAGAGGGGAGGTGAGGAAAAGGGGAAGAAAGATGAGTTCAGTTTTGGACAGGTTTAGTTTAAGAAGTCTATGGGACATCCAATTAGAGAAGGCCAGTAGGCAGCTGGAGAAGTTCATTGAGAGGAGCTAGGTGGTGCAGTGGATGGAGCACTAGCCCTGGAGTTAGGAGGACCTGAGGTCAAATCTGGTCTCAGACACTTGCTAGCTGTGTGACCCTAGGCAAGTCACTTAACCCCAATTGCCTCCCCTCTCAAAAAAGAGAAGTTAGTTGAGAGTTAGGGCTGGATAAGCAGATCCGAGAATCATCAGCATGGAAATGATAATTGAATCCATGGCAGTCAACGAGATCACTAAACAAAATAGCATAGTGGGAGAGGTGAAGAGGGCCCAGGCCAGAGCCCCGGATGAAGATCCAGCAAAGGAGACTGAGGAATGATCAGAGAGGTAGGAGGAGAACCAGAAGAGAGCAGGGTCACAGGAACCTAGACAGAGAAGAGTCTCAAGGAGAAGAGTAACTGACGGCTCAGAGGCCGCAGAGGGATTCAGGAGGATGAGGATGGAGAAAAGGCTGTTAGACCGGGCTGCTACAGGCTCACCGATAACTTCAGAGAGGGCAGTTTCAGTGGAATGATGATGATGTCGGATAAGAGGAGAGAAAGTAGAGGCACCTATTGCAGTCGGTGTTCTCGAGGAGTTCAGCCACAGAAGGGAGAAGAGAAATGGGACAGTAACTGGCAGGGATGGTTGGATCTAGGAATGGTTTTTTGAGGGTGTCTCCAGGCAGCAAAGGAAGCAGCCAGTAGACAGTGGAGAAGATGGAAGAGGCAGTCTGCTGGAGAAGACAGGATAGAACGAGTCAGTTGCACACACAGAGGGAAAGGAAGTGGCCGCCATCTTCATGTGAGACGGGTGAAGGAGGTGGTGGCAGAAGGAATCTAAGTGGCCAGGCAGAGAGAAGAGGGAGCTCTGGACAGATGACCCCAGTGTTTTCTGTGAAATATGAAGCACAATTCTTAGCTGAGAGGGTGGGGAAACGGTAGCTAGGGGAGGCTTGAGAAAGGGTGAAAACACTGTGGTGAGTGGATGAGTCAGTTAAGGAGGTATAAAAGGATTGTCTTGTTGCAGTGAGGGCCCAGCTGATATTATATAACAGATTTGTTGTGGACCGACCAGTCAGTGTGGTTGTGTGATTTCCTCTAGCTTTGTTCAGCAGAATGTGAGTAGGGGTGAAGGCAGCAGATGGTGGGAGTGATCCAAGGCTGAAGCTTGGCAGGGCAAGATTGGTGATATAAAGGGGCAAGGAACTCAAGAGAACAGTGTAGGGTTGAACCAGTTCACCAAGGAGTCAAGATGGGAAAGGGACATGAACGTAAGCAGTACATAGGTGATGGCCAGGGAAAGAACTGAGGGCTAAGAGATTGAAGGTCACAGTGCATATGCAGAATGGGGTTGGGGGTTGCAAGGCTGAGGGAGATGCGGAATGACAATAGATTGTGATCAGATGAGGGAGCGCCATAGCTCATGAACACGAAGAGGCTGTGGGGATGCTTGTTCAGGTGTGGGTCGGTCAAAATTCTGAAATTGACATCTGGTTCCCAGGCCATGCTCTGCCCGCCCCTTTTGCCCCTACGTGATGGGGTACGGAGGAATTCCAGAAGCGACACCCAGTGCTTCAGTGCCCCAGTCCCTTGGGCACATTGAGGCACCTCAGGATGGAAGGGTCTGCTTCCAGCTTCCTGCCCCTCTCTTCCTCCAGGGCCGTGGGCTGCATCTTGGCCGAGTTGTTGGCTCATAAGCCCCTCCTCCCAGGCAGTTCTGAGATCCACCAGATCGACCTGATTGTGCAGCTGCTTGGGACACCCAACGAGAACATCTGGCCGGTGAGTGCCTTGGGGCCGGGCTGCCCAGTCCCCTGGAGCTGGCCCAGGCCCCTTCTCACTCCCGTCTCTGCTCTTCTCTCTCCTCTCAGGGCTTTTCCAAGTTGCCTCTAGTCAGCCAGTATAGCCTGAGGAAACAGCCATACAACAACCTCAAACACAAGTTTCCATGGCTCTCTGAGGCAGGGTTACGTCTGCTCAATTTCCTCTTCATGTACGACCCAAAGAAAAGGTACCCAAGGCTCTGACTGATGGTGCGGGGCTGGGGGAAGAATCGGGCCCAACTGGCTCTTGGAAGCCAGCATCTGCTCTCGGGCCTGCGCAGGCACATGGCCCTCTTGGCTTGGTCTGCCCTCCTCTGCGAGAGCCAGTCTGCTCTGGGAGTCTGCCTGTGCTTGGGTGTTTTTGTATCTGCCCCCCATAAGGTTGGAGGGCATTGCCCCCACTCTCTGGACAGTGCTAGCCAATCTGCCACGTGGGAAGGGCTGACCCCTAGATACCTGCATGCATACAAGCGGTCTGGGCTGGAGCATTTGCCACCCCCCCCCCATGGGTTCCACCACCTTTCGTCACGTTCCTAAGCAGTGGACCTGGGCTCTTTGTTGCTAGAATGTTTGGGCCGGCCAGGGATCATCCTTGGTACCCACACCACACAGTCACACATCTTCTGCCTACTCTGTGTATTTACTCTTTGACTCACAGAAGCCAAAAAGCCCCTGTTTTCTTCTCATTATCAACAGCCTCCCTCATTGCTTCTTTTGGTTGTGGGGAAATTTGCTGAGGCCTTTGGGTTGGGAGATGGAACACTGCCCAGAACGAGAGGCCCTAAGTTAGTCGGAGAGCCATTTTTAAACAAGACTTTCTACCACCCAGAGGCAGGAACTATGGTAGTGCCCAGCCCAGCTCCCTGCACGCAGTAGGCACATAATAAATGTTTATATTTGCCATGGCATTACTTCTCCTTGACAAGCTGGTGGGTTCTCTCTAGGGCCACAGCTGGGGACTGCTTGGAAAGCTCCTACTTCAAAGAAAAGCCATTGCGTAAGTGCCCCCACCTTGGGCCCCATCTTCCTGCCAAGGCCTTGGGGGGTGGGAAGTCGCTGGAAGCAGCTAAGACGGGGTGCTGTGGGTGTGCCCAGGAAGCGAATGCCTGGGAGTCTGGGCGGCTGAGAAGTTGGGGAAGCACGGGGGAGGGGAAGCCATCCAGAGCCCTGCCCCAGGGAGAGCAGCTTCTCCTTTGCCCACAGCCTGTGAGCCTGAGCTCATGCCCACCTTCCCTCATCATCGGAACAAGCGGGCAGCCACAAGCGCTACCACCAATGCCGGGGCTGAGAGCCAGGGCAAGCGCAGCAAGCCCTGAGGCGGTAAGAGGCCCCTCCTCATCCCATTGGGTTCATAAAGGAAGTCACTGAAGGGGGAGCAGAGGGGGAGGCAGCCCACATCACTCGGTGGGCTATGCTGCCAGCCTCCAGCTTAATTTTGCCCACCCCCCTTCCAAAACCACAGGCCCGGGGCAGAAGCACAGCCGTGGCTTTAGAGCCGCCCTCCTTCCTCTTAGGCTTCTGGGGCCTACCCCAGACTCCGGGCTGACCAGAAACAGGAGCTGCATCCTTGGAGGAGGTCACAAAGTCAGGCTCTCCTCACTCCTCTGCCTTAGGGGAGGTCAGGAAGGGGTCACATTATTCGTTCTGCCTCAGTGTCCTCTCCCCTGAAGCCACCTCAGCTGCTTTGAAGTTCTGAATTGTCCCCAAAGGTCGCTGTGGCAGGTCCCCAAAAGCCAGAACCGGAGTGGCCGGCTAGACTGGACTGTGTTCTGAGAGCCGGCCTGGTGCAGTGTGGATTGGCCAGCCGACAAGTAATGAGTGTTTTCAGCCATGATAACTTAGGAAGACTTTGTTCTGAAGGGCGGCAGGATCACAAGTCTACTGCCACACTGATGAAATCAGAGCTCTCTGAAGCAGGCATCAGCCTCTGCCGTAACGCAGGCCCAGTCTTCTCACTCAAAAACAAGCAGAACTCCCGGGGTGGGTGTCGGAGCCAGCTTGGCCGGCATGAAGAGGTGGGGGACCCGAGCAGCTGTTTGGCTCCTGGGGCGTCTCAGCTTTTGCTCCAGGGCACATGGGAGGTTCCAGGAGCCTTCTGCAGCCTCGGCCATCACGTTTGGTTTCCAGTTCTCTGGGCCTAGCACATCGCAGGTGGTGCAAGGACATTCTACTCATTTTCCTTCTCCTTCAGGTCACACCTTCAGCTGTGGTGTTAGGGCAAAGGATTATATTAATGCTTCCTCTGCCCTTTGCCCTTCTTAGCTTCCCATTCAGTAAAAATCACCCCCTTCTTTCAGGTGGATTAGGGAGGCTGAGGCACCAGGTACTCAGAGTTGGGTGAAGATTGATTTGTAAGTCGTCCGGTGAGCGCTGGCCGGACACCTGCCACCGTCCGCTGAGAACGGGCGGCCCCTAGGACTCACCTCGGGCCCTCAGCAGACACCTCTGGGACTTTCTCTGGCCTTCTGCTTAGTGCTGCAGCTGGCAGGAATGAGGCTGGAACAGGGAGAGAATTTGGTTTTCCCTACCTGGAAGACAGACACAAGGTTTGGGGAGGGAAAGGAGGAATGGGCTGGAGAGATCCATCCGTGTTCCAGTCAGCTCTTACCTGCTTCCTTCTTTGCAGGAGAGGAGGTCTAGCAGGGCTCTGTCTGTGGAGCTGCCTGATGGGCAGACACAAAGCCGTAAGCACTGGGGCTAGTGTGTTCATCCCTGGTGCTGAGCTGCCCTCAAGGGAGGGGCCTCGGGAGGTCTGGATGTCACGAAGAGCTGAAGGGAACAGGGATCCTGTCGTATCCTGGTGGAAATAACGTTCTGTCCCCAGGACCCTGTGGGGGGGCCTCAGCAGCCTTTCACGAACATGCCCAGGAGCTCTGGGGACTGATGAGGGGTAGAGACAGCCTCCTGTCCCAGGGGAGCCAAAATCACACCCTCTGTAAGAGGGCACTGGGGGGAGATGGGTTTGTTCAAATGCAGCTTTTGAAGAGTGTTTTAAAGACTAGTCTTTGAATGCTACTCCTGGTGTTTGGCTTTGTGAAATGGACTGTTCTGGAGAATAGCTGGGAAAGTGGGAGCTAAGGGGATGGAGGGGAGTGGGCAGGAAACGCCAGAGTGGGAGGGAAGAGAAAGGAGAGATAATTGCCCTGTTTGCGTTTTGCTTTCCTATGAGAGAACTGAACAGTTCCCACCATCTAAACTGGGGTGTCAGGAGAGAGAGTAGCGTCTCCATGCCACTATTGAAAGCCCGAGACTGTCCTGTGATGCCCCTATAGGCTCCTGCCTCACAAGGCAAGGCCTGGGGAGAAGTCTGCCCACCCCCTGTGAGAAGCACTGCCCTAGCCAGCCCCCTCCCTTTAAAGGATTGGGCCTAGGGGGTGGAGCTTCCCACTTCCTCCCCTTCTCCATGTCAAAAGGACCCCTTTAGGGCTATGGGATTTTAGGGTTGGAAGGAACTTAATCAGCAAGCATTTATGGAGCACCTACTGTGTACTGAGCCCCATGACCTAAAGTCACGTAGCTCAACCCTCACTTTGCGGATGAGGAAACTGAAGCTCAGAGAGTTTTGACCAGCCAAGGTCACCTGGATAGCAGCAGAGCTGAACAGAGATTTGACCCCAGGCCCCCTTGACTCCAGTTCCAAGGCACCTTCAAGCATCCTTCCTCCCTTTCCGCTGGTTTGGTTTCATCCCGTGACCTCGCAGCACCTAAATTCAAGGGGGAAGCGCTGTGGGTAGTGGGTCAGGCTCATTGTCTCACCTCACCCATCCGCCTGAAGTTCAGGCTGATCTCGGCTCCTTGCTGCCGTTCCCAAGGAGCTCAGCTCTGCTCTGCTGAGGTCATCCAGGGAGGAGGGGAAGTGGGCCGTTCCTTCTCCGGCCTAGGTAGTGGGACAGATTGTAAGCCCATTGATTGGCCTTGAAGTCACCCACGGTCCCTTCCTAAGGCAGCCGGGGAAAGCCGGGAGCAGCCACAAATCTCCTCAAACACCAGTTTTGTTTAAGGCCCAACGGTAAGAGCTCCGGACGAGGCCGTGCCTCTTTGCCCGGAATTCTCACTTGGGTCGTGGGTGCTCTTCCATGCTCTCTTGTCTTTGTCCCACTCCCCAAGCACAAATAGGCGAGCAGAGGGAAGCGTGGGAGCGTGTAGTGGCTTCACCTCCCAGGCCTCACATCCATAACCCTCGGCATCTCCCCAGCAGACAGCTGGCTTCCTTTTGCTGCTAACTCTCCCTCCCACCTCTGCCCCTGGATCCGGCAGTTCCCAGGAGGACACCCTTTCTCAGAAAAGGCACCTTTGTTAAGTCTCCAAATCAGCTCCTCTGCAGAGGACTTCTTCCTGGTGTAGTGGCAGGTTGGTCTTAATCTGGGGGTGTTTTTACAAACAGGTTTCTTTATGGCCACCTGGCAGGGGACAGTCTCTAAATCTGGATATCTATTCAGCAGCCAGCCCTGTAAATTTTCCTGGTACTGTCTCCTTTTTGCTGACTCTACTTGTAAAATTCCCCATTTTCCTCTCATTTCCCACACCCTTCTTTTTCTCTGAATGCAGATTTACTAATAAAACAGGAACAATTTTTTTTTTTAAACAGTGACTAGTTGCAGGCCAAATTCGCTGAAGAAATCGAGAGGGATGTTTGCTCAATAGATATAGTGTGAAAATTGGGTTTCAGGGTCAGCGGCTAGGGAAAAGCTATTGCAAGCAAACTGCTGGCGGCTGTGGTGGCCTGGTCTGGCCAGCCAAGTCTGTAACTGTGATGACATATTCTCCTTTCTTCCCCCCACCTGGGCAGGCTCAGTACTTAACCCCTTGGGAACATCTCACGTTCACATAGTTCACCATATAGCCATCAAGCTAGGTAAATGCCCCTTTAGTCTCCCTCCAAGATCACACGACCCCTAGGACAGGTGGCCCACTGGGCCCAATTAGAGTGTGGACAGGGCAGGGCCTGCTTTTTGCCTTTCTTCGTATCCCCTGGCACTCTGAGCCTTTAATAAATGCTTGTTGACCCTTGGCATTCAGCAAAGAGGGATCCTTCAGGCTGCTCAGACTTCACCTTCCGATTGGCTGCTGCCAAACATAGCATTCCACTGGGAGGGGAATAACAGGGAGAGGACAAAAATCTTCCACAACCTTCTCTCAAAGTTGGCAATACCTGAGAGTACTGAAATAGTAGGCGATAGATAATGAGGGCATAGGAGAATAAGTTTCAGAGAAGAGGCAGATTAGGAGAAGACCCAGGCAGGCTGATTGTACTGGGTGTCTCTCACAACACGGCTGTTTTTAACATGCCTACAATAATGATCTCGGGGAGAAAAGATGATGCGGCGTTTGAAGTCCCTGGGGCAGCCAGCTTTGGAACGGTTTGGCAAAAGAACTCATCAAGAACAGGCAAAGAACGTCCCTGGTGAACACTAAATCACCTCACATACTTTAATTACAGACAACCATCTACACAGGACAGGCCCTTCCTCCGGGGTCCCAACCCTTGCTGGTCAGAAGGGTCTTCTTTTGGCTGGAGTTGTCTGGGCAGTGCAGAAGGGTAGGCCAGCCCTAGCTCATGAAATGCCAACACTGCCATTGAACGGGGCCCTCCATGCCCAGAAGGCTGTCCTTTCCCTGGCAGAAGGGCTCACACCTAGGTGGCAGGGAGAGGGAGGCTGGTTTTAGAGATAACTCATCACCTCACTAAAGACTTACTTTGCCTTCCATTTCCAGGAGACAAGAATTCCCTCGCAGAATAATTCCAGCTGATGTTATAATGCTGTAAGCTTTTTCAAAGTGTTTTTAAATATATCATAGGGTTAATGTTAGTCTTCCAGGGCCTAAATTTCCTCCATTACGAGTGGGGACAGTGAATGACCTAATGGAGCTCCCACAATTAGTTGGTGGCTGAAGGAACTAGAACCCAGGTCTCCTAAATTCTGAGCCTCCAGCTAACACTACCTCTAGCCTTTTATTTGGAGAAGGGGCTGAGGGTCTAGGTCAGGGGATCAGGATTACAGACTCCTTCCTTTCCCACTGAGCTAGAAGGTCCCTATTCCCTTCATCAACCAGGAGACAAGCCAGCTCTCTCCTTGGAGGTAAGGGGGGAACCACACAATTTGGGGGATTCACCTTTGGCCCAACTCATTCTAGGGCCTGGCCCTGGGGGGACTCTCATAAAGCAGGGAGTCCAGCTGGGTCCTCTGGAGCCAGAGACGTCGCTGCTTCTCACCCAGCAGCTCGTGCAGCGTGTGGCCCAGGCGGCAGCTATAGACAGCCTGGCAGTGACTGGCATGGAGCTGGCAGCATGTATCACAGCAGTAGGTGGGCAGAGTGCCCACTGGCAGGCAACCATGAAGCTGATAGCGCTGGGGCTCCCCACCAGATGCGGAGGGAGAAGCAGGGGTCCCTTCAGCAGCCTCAAGATGCCCGCTGGCCCTGACATGCCTAGGGGAACGGCTGGGGCTCTTGCCCCCGGCAACTTCTGGGGTCAGCTCCCGCCGCAAGGCGATGAAGGAGAAGGTGGTTCTCTCTTCGGTAGGTTCTTCAAAGGCCTCGTAGGACAAGCTCTCCTCGACTGGTTCCTCCACGCGTGGAGACTCCCAGCTGCTCCCATTGTCCCGAAGCTCCCGGGCACTGGAGGCTATGTGGCCGGTGCCCCACAGTTTGGCACTCTGTTCCCAGACAGGGGGTTGATAGGCTAGCTCTGGGGAGGGTGACTCTGGCCCCGCTAGGGGCTCACCATACAAGGAATCCTCCTCAGCACCTTCTTCCAGCATGTCACTGTATAAATCAATGCTAGCAGGGTAACTAGCCAACGGCCTTGGGGACGGCTGTCCAGCTCCGGTCAGCCGCCTCCTTAGCCGGTCCACACATGTGTCCACATCGCCGCTGGCTCGACGCTCCTCAATCAGCTCCTCCGCAGACAGCAGGCTGGTTCCCAGCTTGGTCAGGATCTCCCCTAGAATCTCACACTCCAACCTCAGAGCAAAGCAGCCTAGAGCCACCTGAATTAGCTCATAGCCTGGGGGTGGAGTGGCCACGACCAGGTGGTGTTGATCCCTCCTGGTGTAGCCCATCTTCTGGAAGCACTTGGTGATGAGGTCCTCTGAAAGCACACCCTTTAGGAAGTGGACATAGCCCCCGGAAAAGGTCTGTAATCAACAAAGAACCGTTATTGATTTAGGGGTGCCCAGCCTGTTATGACTCTTATCCCTATCCATCAATAACTGAGATTTCTATTGGGTTACACAGGAATTCCTTTCAGCAACCCTGTGAAGTTGGTAGTGTAAGTATTCATTTTACAGATGAGGAAACTGAGGGTCAGAGAGGCTAACTGACTTCCCAGGGGTTACAGTGTCATTTGAACCCACCATCAGACCTTCTCCTGTGACTCCAAGTCCAACACTCTTTCCTATAGATCAGGGGTGCTTAACCTGCAATCTAACCCCTTTCAGGTGTCCGTGGATAAAATTGGTGGGATCCATGAACTTGGGTGGAGAAAAAAAAAATTAACTCTTTATTTTCACTAACCTCTAACTTAAATTGAGCATTTCCTTCTATTATTTGAAAAGATTGCTCTGAGGGGGATCACTAGGCTTCACCAGATTGCGGATGGGGTCCCTGACCCAAGAAAAGGTTAAGAACCCCTATTCCCTCTACTCTCTGGTATGCTGCTGAACGAACCAGCAGATGTCACTGCTGAGATAACCTGGTTTTCTAAGTTGTCCCCTCCGTTCCTGGTTGAGGCTGGTGTTGCCACAGTAACAGAGTGGAGGTGTTACTCTCCCACGCTGCCCAAGATGACATCACTCAGCTACCTCCCCAACATTCTGAATTTACAAAGTTGCTGGGGCAATGGCATCCTGATTGCCATGACAGTTCATTGCTACCCTGGAGGAAACCTTATTCTCTTTTGCTTCTGGGCATGGAGTAAACAGGAGACAAGAGGGTGAAATGAATGCAGGCGCAGAATCTTCACCTCGGGAACTGGGTGCTTTCTGTAATCTGACCTCATTCCCCATCTGCTCATAGGATTTGGGAGTTCAGAAATCATTTTAGTCCAACAGTTTTGTTTGACACATGAGGAAACTGAGGCACGGAAAGGGATTTGAACCTGGCCCCAGATCTTGCCCACTTTCCACTATTCTACATACCTACTTAACCCCATTCTTGCAAAACTGCCTGTGACTGAGAGGATCCCCGGGGGATAGGATTACTCGGGGAAAGGTGATTTTTGAAGCTTGGGCACCTTGCCTAGACTCTGGTGTCCCCATCCCAGGAGGACAGGCAAAGTTCGGAAGCTTGGGCCACGACTGCTCTATTCCCCTGGTCCCAGAAAGAGCAACCAGGGTGTCCCGTCCCACCCCCACCTCCCAAGCCATTCTGGCCAAGTGCGGGCTGCATTCCTCCTCCCCACTCCCCGCCCCCATCCTGTGCCCAGCACACGACTCAGGCCCAGCCCAGAGCTCAGAACAGATTCCCCATTGCCTGGGCAGAGCTAGGGAATTCCTGGGTCGCTTCTACCTTGATGGTGGTGAACTCCTTCCTCCAGGGAAAGAGGTAAAGGTGGACCGCGGCTAGCTCCAGAAGCTCGAACGCCCGGGCCAGGTTGCGCAGGGCGGGGGCCAGGTCGCCTCGGCCCCACAGCCCATCGGTGAAGAGGGCCAGGGCGTCGTCCTGGAGCAGCCCGTGAAGATCGAAATCCTCCACGAGGATCTGCCAGAGCACGGCCCGCAGAGTGGGGTCTGCACAGACGCCCGAGCCACCCCTCCGCCGCTCGCGCTCCAAGCACAGACGGTAATCCTCCGACAGGGAGCTGGCGCCCATCCTGAGGGGTGGGGGTGGATGATTAGGTACACAGTCCCGCCGACCTCCACCGGAACCCCTCCATGGGCACCTTCCACCGCCCCCAACCCAGCGCCCCCGAGAAACGGACGAGCCAAGCCAGATGTTCTTCCCCGGCCGACTGGGAGCAGAGCCAGATGTGCGCCCCAGGAGGACCAGATTCAGATCGCCCCCACACCCGCCCCCGGATCCCAGCCTCAGCCTCAGAATGGGAAAGGGAAGGGGAGGCGGGAACCCGGGGAGGTGTCTCTACCTGTCCAGGTTCCAGGAGTCGCCTCCGACGCCCGCCGAACAGCCCAGAGCCCAATGGCCCAGCAGGGCCCTTCCGGCTTCGTGGGGGTCTCTCCCCCCCATTGGTCAGACACGGGGGCTGACGCATTTGGGGCGTGGTTTGGGGGTACCGCCCCCCCTTCCCCGCCCAATTTTGGAGTTTAACTGTGTCCTTGCCGGACAGAAAGAGATGAAGGAAGGACCTAGAGGGGTTCTGCAGGGAATGGAAGGGTGAGGGTGGAAGGCGCTGGGGAAAGGGGTGGGGGCCCCCACCTGGGGATAGGAAGCAAGGAAGGGGAGCACTCCGATTCATCACCTCACCAGTCGTCATCAGTATCCCCATTTGGTGTCCGAAGATGAGGCTCTACCACCTTCTAGCTATGTGAGAATAGCCAAGTCCTTCTCTAGGACTCAGTTTCCTCATCTGTAAAATGAGAGGGTTGTGCCTTCCAGCTCGCAGTCTCAAGACCTTGCTGGGATCCTGGGCCAGAGGGAACATGGACTTGGAAGTGCTGCGGTTCACAACTCACGCCTCACTTAGGGGTAACTCCACTTAGTCCGGCCGTTGCCCGAAAGAGTCGGGAAAATCGTGCTCTCTGCCTAAGATTCGGCCAGCCAGAGGCAAGGGCGTGCGGGGCCGCTGCTCTCTGCCCAGTCCAGTCCGAAAATCTGCGTATCTGTACGCGTGTTTCAGCCTCGAGCTGAGAAGAGGTATTTCCTACATTGGAGTGTGCGTGGCACAAATTAGTAACACTAGGACCAGAAACCTAGGTTCTCGTCCCAGCCTTGCCCCCCGACGTTGCTATGGGTCCCCTGTGGGCCTCAGTTTCTTCCCCTGTAAAATGAGGGGCATGAATAATAGCCTAGGATCCTTTCTAGTTCTATCAAAGTGAAATCAGTTTCCCTATAGTAGCGATGGAACCGGGAACCTTCTGTCCCTACCCTCCTCTCTCCTACCCCCGAAATGCCCACCGCAGACACTCAATCTTCCTGGGACGCTAGGTGGCAATACTGGGCCACTAGAGATCTGAGTTTGCTCCCCACTGAGTAAAAGCTGGTCTCTGACCTCCCAGCCTGCCAGCATCACAGAATCATCAAAGGTCAGGACTGTAGGAGATTATTACAGGTGACGAAACTGAGGCCCAGAGAGGAGAAGGTACTTCCCCAAGGTCATACAACAAATCAGAGCGATCCAAACCGAGGTCTTCTAATGCTAACCACTAGGGCCTTTTTCCAGAACCGCAAACAAAACCGGCTCTGCATAGGGTACTGCAGGCCCTTGGAAGGCTTCGTGGAGGAGGAGGAGAGATGGAGCAGGGCAGTGACCAGGAAAAACCCCTGCCTTCTCGATGCTCCACAGTTCTCCCAGGACAGCACAGAAAAAAGAGAAAGCCGGTGGGCTGTAGAAAGAGCACCTAGGTTTGGAGTCAAAGCACCAGGGTTTGATGCTAGGCTCTGCTATGTACCAGAATTCATGGGCAGAAATTGTAGAAAGGTGTTTTTAGGCACAATGTGCAGAAGGATCTCTCCAAATGTGGAATGAATTCCCTTATTCCCTGACAAAGGCATGAAGGCAGCTAGGCGGTTCAGTGGATAGAGCAAAGGACTGGAAGCCAGCAACTTACTGTTGTGTAGTCGCTTTTCAGTCCTATCCCATTCTTCGTGACACCGTTTAGGGTTTTCTCGGCAGAGACACTGGAGAGGTTTGCCATTTCCTTCTCCAGCATATTTTACAGATGAGGAAACTGAAGCAAGCAGGGTTAAGTGATTTGCCCAGGGTCACACAGCTAATAACTGTCTGTGGCCAGATTTAAATTCAGGAAGAAGAGTTTCCTGACTCCAGACCCCGGATTCTATTCCCATCACCACCTAGCTACCTGAAGTCAACAAGACCTGAGCTCAAATTCTGCTTCAGAATTTGACATCCTTGGGTGTCTGAGCACTGGACAAGTCATATAACCTTTTTCTGCCTCAGTTTCCTCAAATGTAAAACAGGGATGATGCTAATAGCACCCACCTCCCAGGTTTGTTGTGAGGATCAAATGATATAATGTTTGTAGAATGCTTAGCACAGTACCTGCCACATAATAAGCCCTTTATAAATGCTAGCTGCTATTATTATTATTATTATTATTATTATTAGCAACTAGGTAGCTCAATGGACAGAGTGCTGGATCTAGAGTCAGGAAGATTCTTCTGTATTTCAAATACAGTCAGCTGTGTGATCCTGGGCAAGTCACTTAACCCTGTTTGTCTCAGTTTCCTCATCTGTAAAATATGCTGGAGAAGGAAATGACGGACCACTCCAGTATCTTTGCCAAGAAAACAGAGGTCACAAAGAGTAGGACACAACTATAACAACAACAACTATTATCATTTTATGGATGACCACTTGTTGAAGAAGTTGGGTGAGACAGATAGGTAGTTCAACGGATGGAACAAAAGACCTGAAGCCAGCAAGACCCGAGTTCAAATTCTGTCTCTTTACATCTCAGTTTCTTCATTTGTAAAACGGAGGTAATAAAAATAACACCTACAGGGTTGTTGTAAAAATCAAATGACATAACATATAAAGTGCTTTGCAAACCTGTTTAAAGCATTACATAAATGCTAACTATTGTTGTAGAGGAGATTAATTGTTTAGGGTTGGACTGGAAGGGTTGGCCTCTGAGATTCCGGGCAATTTTCTTTCCTTCTCAGTAGAAGACTATAATTTCTAAACTCCTTTCCAGTTCTATGTCCCAGACTACACAATAGACCTCGTAAATTAGCTTGCAAGATTTTGGGGATTGGCTGGCTGCCCAGGAGGCGGAGCCAACCCCTACCAAATGCTGAGAGATTGGCCAGTGAGGAGCTCTAAGGGCGGGATCTCCAAGGAACCTTCCTTATTTAATCTTTCCCCACTGCCAAGACTTCGCTTTGTCTGCGGGGCACCCTCCCTGGCAGCATGTCACCTTCTGAGCGCCTGGTCCTCGTGCTGGGAGGAGCTGGGACTGTGGGCTCTGGGATTGTGAAGTCGCTCCTGGAGAAGGGTGAGGCCTTCGGGGAGAGTGTGATGGGTGAGGTCATGGCCCCCAGTTGGGTGGGAAGTCACTGGGGGTGCAGAAAGCCGCAAAGCGGGAGGTTAGATAGAGGGTGGGGGTGTTGGAGAGGTCAGCTGAGGAAATCCCAGGTTGAGGAAGCCTGGGTTATAGGATTTAGAACTAGAAGGAATTTGAGTCTAACTTCCTATTTTACAGAAGGGGATACTGAGACTCAAAGAGGTCACACAAGTAGGAAGCAGCAAAGTTGAGTTCTGAACCCAAGTCCTTTGATTACAAATCCAGTGTGCTTTCCATTCTACCTTGCTGGTGCCCTGCCTGGGGGATGCAAGCACTGCAGAGTATCCAGTCTCACCTCAGTACTCACTCCCCATGATCCTGGAAGGATACTCTCACAGCCACCTGGGAAGGAGCTAAACCCAGGTTTCTCATTCCAACCCAGCCTCAGGATTTCCGAAGAGGCTGGTGGACAATGAGTCTGGTCAAGTGCTGCTTTTTTCTGAGTCCTTTCTTTTTCCACTGAACTTGGAGGGGCAAAGAGGTGCAGAGCTGGGATGGAGAGATGGCCAGGAGCCTAGCGGGAGAACATCCTGATTGTAAGTCAGTAGCCCAGCTTCCAGGGCCAGACAGGATTAGACCTAGGGTTCAGGAAACCACTTCCTCCCATTCCCCATCTCCCACACCCCATATCTGGGTAACCGTTGGGCAGACTATTTAAACTTCTTGGACACCAGTTACTTACTCCATAAAGTGAAGTGGTTATAGGATTTAGACCTAGAAAGTACCAATAGGGAGTATGTAATCCAGGTAACCTGGGGTGCATGAATAGATTTCGGGGGGGTCCATGAACTTGGATGAGAAAAAAAAATTACATCTTCATTTTTACTAATATTTAAATGAAATTCAGCAATTTAGCAATTATGAATTTTAAAAATATGAATTATTCTCAGAAGGATTCCATGGGTTTCCTCAGCCTGCTAAAGGGTGAAACAAAAAAAAAGGGAAGCATCTCTGATGCAGTCCAACTCTTTCATTTTGGAGATGAAGAAACTGAGGCCCAAGTCAGGGAAGCCTTGTCTAAAATTAAAGGAAGTAGCAGACCCAAGATTTGAACTCTGGTCTCCTCTGATTCTTTCTACTTTATCCTCTTGTTGGATTAGATGTTTTCTGGGATTCCTTCTAGTTCTAAATTTCTGGGATTCATTTACTTCCTAATGAGCTCAAGTCGGGCATACAGGGCCAGCTTTGACTGAGCGTTTTCTGGCCCAGACCCTTGGCCAGTGGGGTCCCACTCTGTAGACTCATGTTTCCAGGAGCCTGGGTCCTGACTTTCCTCCACCGCCACAGGGTTCCAGGTTGCTGTTATCTCCCGGGATGCCACACGCCTGGAGAAGCTTCGGAACTTCGTACCAGCAGAAGCCCACAATCGCCTGTTCGCTGTGGTGGGGGATGTGGGTGAGTCATCGCCTCAGGTCTAGGGTGGGGCATGGGTTCTAGGAGTGCCCAAGGCAGTGGGGTTGGGCCTTGGGTTTGCACCAAGAGGCAAATGTGAACTGTGTTCTGGGGAGAGATGCAGGGGAGGAGAGGGCAGGGACCAAAGCTGAAGTCTGGGAGTGGAAAGAAAGGTGAGAAATTGTCCCTAAACTTCCCTCATTAAACTCAGCCCCCGAAGTCACAGGGTCATATGTTAGGACTGAAAGGAACCCCAGACTGTGATCTGGAGTAATGCTCAAAAGCAGGGCTCTTAACCTTTTCTGTGCCCTGGACCCTTCAGTCAGCTGGCAAAACCTAGACCCCTCCTCAAAATCATGTTTTTAAGTACATAAAGTAAAATACATAGTATTATGAAGGAAACAAATTCTATAAAATACAATTATTAAATTGTTTTTTCTGCCATACTATTGGAAGAAGAGAAATTGGAACTCAAAACTTAAAAGTTAAAATTGTTTTAACATTTAATTGAGGAAAAAGTAAAATATTATTTTAAAAAATTATTTTAAGTTCACAGACCCAAGGTTAAGAATTTTTATTTTTATTTTT